TTTGCGCGGCTCTCCTCCGCATTGTTCGCGCCGGGCAGGCGCACGAAACTTTTCGGCTCGCTGAATTTTCATCGGCCGTGACCTCTCTCGCTTTTCGAAATGCGACGCCCGTTTCACGGATATCGCGTTATCGACTCGTTTTGTCGATCGTCGGAGAGGCGTGGCCGGCACGAAAAATTGGCTGTTTCCGCGACGATTATCGTGCACGGTTCGGAAGACGCGCGGCGGTCGTGATTCATCGCTTGCGTGCCACTGCCACAGATCGATAGCCGAGTATCTATGGCGACTGTGCGACTCTTCGGTACTCGTCACATTGCTACTCGGTGCATGTAACTTCCATTTTATAAACTTGTACAGAGCTGTCGATAGACTTTTCGGAAATACGTAAAACGAGCGCGCAGCGTCCGATGGTTGTTTCAGCGGGGTACAACTGCTTAGAATCCTTTCAAAGACAGGATCTCTCGAGCTGCGGATCGTTAAATATCGGGTTGCTCCGCGACGCTCGTTACCATAAAACTTTCTCGAGTCAAAGCGAATATTCGTCTCGCTGCGCCGCAGCCTGGCGCGAACGCCGCTCGGGATAAAAGTCATCGCCGAACTTGGATTCATCCTTTCCGGGACTGGGAAATTCAAGCCGTGACTGGGCCGACAAAAACGCACTCGTTTTTTTTTCAGCAGTCGATCAGTTGTAGGAGATACGCGGAAGCAGTTAGGTGAGAAAAGAGAGAGAGAGACGAAGAAAGCCGCGAGGAGAAGGCGATACAGTTCGTTGCGGTCCTGACCGGAAAGATCAGTGGCCCGAATCTCTCGTCGAGAGCTAAGCTGCAGTCTACGCTTGAAGGTACGCCGGATAATACGAGGCGGATCCGCGCTTGCAGCTTAGCTCGCAGACAGGCGCTGCGCGTGGATTAGACGATGAACATTTCGTGTCTATCCACTTCGTGCCGCGTATCTCTTGAACTCTCTCTCTCTCCCTCCCAACAGGTGTCTATACATAGACCATTCAATGTCAGCTTTGAATCGTCTTACAGACGATAAATCGCTTGGAGCTTACTTCTGCTGTATTTGCATATTCCGCATCACTTTGAGCAGTTTGTTTTTATGATTGAAACATCAACAGCAGCGGAAATATTTTACACGGTTTTCGGATTTTTTCTCCGATTTGAGAAAGTATACAACGTCGATACTATTAACATGGTTTCAGATGTTTATCCGAACTAAATTCTAATACAGATGGAATCGTCAATTTGAAAAGATTAATAGGCGTTAGGATATCATTGGTTCGCTAGACAATCGCGTTCGATTGTTTTACGACGATCGTCAAAGTTTACGATTTCGCGTCGAAAAGCATCGAGCGAGAAGAGAGAGAACGTGCAACAAAGGCGCGAAGAAAGTTTAGCTGGATAACCGTTTTGACAGCGCTCGTTGGATGCAAAGGTAACGTCGACCGTGCAGCTTTCGAAGATCCTTTATAGTATACTTCTTTTGCGCGGCGCTGCAGATAGTTGTGTACATAGAGAGTTGCAATAGCGTTGGAACTACGTTTCAATGCCCGACGTGACGCTTCGAGCGCCGTTGCCGAAAAGCGTATTGCGCAAAGGGGATTGCCAGTCGGTCTTTTACCGTTGGCAAGCTCGATCGAGCGTTGTATTCAGTGTCGAATAACGTCGACGTCCGATTCCGGCGAATCCGTTGCGGCGCACGACAGCGGCGCGGAGAAAGAAGCCGCGATAAGAAAGTCCACGCGCACGCGATAGCTTACGGCGCGTAGCGTCTTAGAATCGATGCGCTCGGCTCAACTCGCTCGCAGGATGGAGGAAGCCTCGAGTATTCCTTAGATTTTTCGGCGAGATATCGAATTTCCGGCGCGCCGTCGCAGCCCGAGTGTGCACTTTCGGTGCAGCTACGCGCGCACTCCCGCCAACCGTGCGGAACGTCGCTTCGCGATCGGTTCGCATCACCTTTTGTTCAACGGCCGATCCTTCCCGTCGGCGCCGATGAGTCAATGCCATTGTACTCCCGCGCCATTTTCTTTTTATCCGCGGGCGCGAGGCCGTGACGCCAAACCAAGTTGTCGCTGTTGTTGCTCGCGCCGTTCGAAAGTCGCTTTTACGCGTCGTCGAAACGGCAGTTCACTCCGCTGCAATAAAGTTGCACCGCGAAATTTCGAAACTAGAGTAGAGAGAGAGAGAGAGTTATCGCATCGCACGAATCTCTTGGAAAATGGAAAGCTGCGCAGCGCGTTATCGACATATTTCGCAGTGTATTATGTTAGGATAACCGCAGGATACAGCGCTACCACGGCGTTACCACGGCGCATCGAGGAGAAACCGACATAATTCACGCCGTATATCCGCTCGTTCGCCCCGCGGCGAGAGCCACGTTGCGAGGATCGATCGAGCTGCTCGCGGCGAAAGCTCGCGGGCGTTGTCAAACGGGAGACCGAGCGCCGAAACACTTTGGCCCTCGGCGAGGCGTTTCGCTCGCGTTCGCGCGACGCGATTATCTGCGCATCGGCATAAATCTCGTCCGGGGGCGCAACGAGGCGATCGGCCGGCTGCGAAAACTGGCCGCTCGACAACGACACACGCGAAAGCGAAAAGCCCGTTGTGCCGCGACCGCTTCGATCTCGCGAGAGGAGCCGACGAGCGGCGCGTGGGCGACCTCGTTATCGCGCGCTAGCCGAGCAGCGGAGCGGCAATTAAAATTAATCGTAAGCAGCGCTCGCCGTAACGTAGGTGGAGTCGCGCGACTGACTGACTAGCTGTGCCCTGTGGACGCTGACGAACGCCTATGCGCGTGAGCCGTGCCAAACGAGTTTGCCGCGCCGGTTTCGTCGCTTTATTTTCGTGTCAATTCGCGCCGCGCCCGGTTCGTCCTCTTTCCTCTTTCCGCGACTAAATATCGTAGCGGCGCGCTTCGCCGACGCGATCGAACCTCCGATAAAGCCCAAATGGATTCGTCCAAGTGCCTCAACTAATCCCGCCGAGTTTCATCGCGTACATCTAGCGTTTCGCGAACGTACAAATAAATAAAACGTCTTTCGCTGGCCTTGATTCAGATTCATTTTAATTACGCGTAATCCCCGCGTATGAAAAAATCTCTTCCTTCAAATACTCGCGTTACGCAGGATTAAAAGAGCAGCTGTTTGAAGTTTTCATCATTTCACGAGATAATTTAATAATCCGACAATTTGCTGTCCGTTGGCTCGACATTCTTGTGGCGCGTCGTCACGGGTGCTTAACCTTCGCTTAACGAAAAGAAAAACAAGTGAAAATTCTTGAAAGTCTTCGTATATAAACTTTACTTTTTCTTTCGTAATTCTTCGTGTTATTTCGAATTGATGTACAAACCCAGCGATAAATTGCTCATCTTGCACGTTTATCCGCGTATTTTCCGATTATTGCAGAATATCTAAGGCAAACTGAAAGTAACATCCTGCTAATAGCGAGGCATCTCTTCAAACGCACGAGATCTGGCTAAATGGCGACATGAAAAGCAAAGCTTAATAAAGCGTATCCGGCGCGCGTTATGCAAAGACAATTAAATCCTTAAAAGGTCTAGATCAGAGACTGCTGAGCTCGCGCAGCTGCTCGCCGTCGACGGGGTCGTCGTTGAAAAACGAATAAAAAGCGCGCGGCACGCGTTCATTAGCATGGTAAACAGCGAGTGCCCACGATCCCTTCGTGGCGCGCGCGCGACACGCCGGAAGAAGAAACCAGGCGCCTTCTCTTCCTTTCAGATCAATTCCGCGCAATTGCGACCAATTACCAGCTGACGTCGCGCCTAATTCGTGTGTCTTCCGAAAAAAAAAATAATAAATAAAAGAGAGAGAGAGAGAGAGAGAGAGAGACAGCGTCGCTCGATCGGACAGAAAACGGAGCGAACGGCTGATTCGATTCTCAGGGATCAACGAGCAATCGTTCCCCAATGACGAGGCGCTTCATGCGCGCGCGAGCTTTAATCCCGTGTATACAATTCCTCCGGGATCCGATATCCGTAGCTTGGAAATATTTGATGCCGAGATATCGTGCAATTGGGCGTGATTTGTTCCGCTAAATCACATTTGGATTTCATGCTTGGGATTACGACTTGTTTGATAACTATCGCGCGTTACATTCCGGCTCGGCCGAAATTGTTGCGTTACATGCTGGTAGCTTCACGAAATAATGAAATTTACATTACATCGTTTCTCTAAGCGCCGAATTTCTCGATACTTTCTCTTCTAAATATGAGTATTCTGTAACAGTTCCAAATTGAAATATGCCGTCACCTGTTACAATGTCAAAATCATACATTAAGCATGCAGGCTACGGTCAATTGATCTCGGTGAAACATTCATTCATGGATGATTCAGAATTTTCAAGACGGAAGTAGTAGCCGCATTTTCACGCAACCATCATTCTGTCAGTTTAAAGTTCCGAGTAGCATTTTCTTAACGTGTATTTTACATTAAAAATCGTTCATCGTCGTTCAAATACGAAATGTTACGAATATTTGATCGACAGTTCAATTTTAAAAGAAAAATCGATAGTCGCAGCAACAAAGTTTCCTATTTGCCGTTCATACTTTCAGGTCGTAAGATGATTTGTAGAAAAAAATACACGCAGAGCAAGTTCGGTAAACTGCCAAGAAAACTCGATTGTGCCCCTCCCTCGTAAGGACGCGTCGAAGTGACGCACGTGCGCGCGGTATTTTTCATCGGCACACGTATAGCCGGGAGAGTTTATATAAACCGTTGTATTCATTGACTCGGCGTCAGTCGAGTCATAGTTACGAGTTAGGTAAGATCGTCAAGTCCGGATTCCCTTTCTTCTCGATTCTCACACATACGCACACGCGCGCGCAGAGGTCCGAGTAAACATTGCGGGCATTACCGCTCCATTAAGGAATTTTGCAATCGGTCAAGGTCTTTGACTCGCGTCGCGTTTTACTTTTTCACGTATAGCGTTGCTGGTGTCGTTGAGCGATTGTCAAGCGTTCCAATTGCATTGTTGCAGGGGGAGGAGAACAAGCCGATAGTGCTGACGAGTGCAGAGGGTCCGCCCGGTCGGTCGGAGTCGCGCTTGGTGCGCCTCGTCGACGGACCGAGTCCTCTCGAGGGCCGTCTCCAGATCCTGCACAAAGGCGAATGGCGCTCCGTTTGCACCAACTCAAGAAAGTAAGTGTGTTCTGGCCGTTGGGCACGCTTCGGCTCGCTTCACGCGCCACGTCCCGCCCGTAGACCAGGATATTTATTGGCGAACGCGCGTCCCTCGTTAATGCTCGTTGGGACTTTCCCTGGCCTTTGTTTTCATTCGCACGCTCAATTAGTCTCTGCTTCTCTCTCGCTCTCGCTCTCTCTCTCTCTTTCTCTCTCTATCGAGTACCGCTCGATGCTTGACATTTCTTGAATGCTTGTCGGAACACACGTTTGTTCGCGCTTTCGCGTACATACGATCGGCGCGTTTACGTTCACTTCGAATGTGTGCTTACGAATATTTGTTTTGCAATATTATACTTCGGCGCGTCTATCTTGTTGGAATTGAACGTGCGTGTATATATTATTCGATGAGTACGATCGGTTTCGTCCGCAAATCAACGACTCGGCCGGAATGTAAATCGTGCCAATAACGTTCACTTGTTTCTCGACTGTTCTCTCGCGTTGCGATAATTAATTGTAAATTTGATCGGTCTATCGTTGCAGTTGGACCCGTGCGGATCTGGAGACGGCATGTCGGGAGCTGGGTTACCAGGGTGGCCGCTGGTGGGGCTGGATGGACAGGCAGTGGCCGGCAAGGCCACGGCTACTCTACGAGCAGCCGCAGTGTCGGGGTACCGAGTCTTCGCTGCAAAGTTGCGGCCGCTGGCCTCACAGGATGCTCGGTGCCGGCGTATGCGGTAAGCGTCGCGAGTAAAAAATGTTAACTCCGTGAAAAACCGAACTGCCCGCTAACGTCGCAACTTACCGAGCGCAGATTACCATCCGGATTTGGGCATATCATGTTCGCCGCATCACGACGGCTCGACCGGTGCCATCAAGCACTGGCGTGGCTTGCGCTTCGAGAACGCCGTTTACGACAGGCCGCTCATTCAGGAGAACACCCTGTACATCCGCCAGTCGAGATCGATCCTCAAGAACGTCGAGATTCGGTAAGCGATTTTTCCGTTTTACCATTGGCTTCGTTCGCCGTGTAATCGTGTGCTTCGTCGGGTGCCGTGCGCAGGCATGCGGGAACCGGGCGTGAATTCAACGTCACGCCGGCACTGCACGTCGAAGGCGTACCGCCTCGCATGGAGTCGATCTCGATCGTTGCCTCGGCGTACACGGGCATCAATGTCACGCATCCAGACGCACCCGTCGTCATCTCCAACTGCACCGTCCAGAGCAACCGAGGTACTCGTGCGCTCCGCTGCTTCTGCTCGCGCCGCTGGGAGCGCCATATTCCGTAGCTCATCGACGATTTGTCGCTTGCAGGATACGGCATTTACGTGAACAGCTCCAGCGGAATGGCCCACATACACAATTGCATTGTCGTCGAGAACGAGGCGGACGGCATCAAGTACGTTCATCACGACGAGAGACCGGACGATCAGGGTGCCGACCGGGCGGACATCTACAACCTCTGCACTTTTCCGGGCACGGCTAGCCAGACCTTCCCCATAACGATTTCGGCTGGTCAAAGAAACTACGCGCCAACACAGAAACGATGCCGACAGGTTCGTTGATCTTTTTCAACTTGAAAAAATATATTCTACGATGACGGAATGACGAAGATTTCGTTGAATTGTCGTCGCAGTACATCTTCACGAGACCCGGCCACGTGCTCACTGTGCACTTTCTGCAAATGACGACTGATCGGAACGACAGCGCCGTCATAAAGGTACACGATGGCATCAGCGACAACGACAGGTTATTGGCCCGCGTCAGCGTGCGAAACCAAACGTTGCCGCAGAGCGTTGCAACCACTCGACAAAATCTCTATATCGAGTTTTTGGCCGAGCCTCGCACTCAAATGGTAGCTTTTATTCGCATCACGTCTGGCTACAGTGAGTTTATCGATATTCGACTAGTTGCTTGTCGATCATTCGTGATTTCGCTGAAATGACACGTCGGACGTCCTTGTTTCAGGAAAATCGTACGATTTGAACGTAACAAGCAGCACGATAACGGACAACAACGGGCGTGGCATAGCGGCGGAGAAGCTACGCTCGGTGGTGCACATCGACGACACCTCGGTGTCGAACAACCAGCACGTGGCTGGCGTGCACGTGCTCGGTGGTGTGCCCGACGTCAACGTAACGAGTAGTCGTATTGCCTTCAATCGTGGCGACGGCATCAACATCACGGTCACCGGTGGCAATCGTAACGTCTCGAGATCGAGCATCTCTTCGAACAGAGGCTACGGCCTCGCGGTCTGGTTGAACGACAGCTCGACAACCGAATACGTTCACTTCAATCAAACAACGGTGGTGGAATACTCGGAAATCTTTCGGAATCGCGATATCGGTATATTAGTTGGGAACTCGACTGGCGATTCCTACGTCAACGTCACTGGCAATTGGTTCAACAGCAGCAGCGAGACGTCGGTTCAAGTCGAATCGAGTTGGCGCTACAATCAAGGCAAGTTAAAGCTTCAGATCGGTCACAATGTGTTCGTGCAGAACGCCAAGCTCGGTATAAAACTCAATCCGGCGCTCAACTTGGACGGTGTCATCGAGTACAATCACTTCCGCGAACACACCTACGGATGCATACTCGTGCGCAATCCACTCTACGAGGAGTTCAACATACTGTCGGCCGAACTGCTCATTCAGCACAACGAGTTTTACGACAACAAGGGATTCTTCGTCGCCAGTCTCGGATTGTCGCCGTACAGTGACGCGCAGCATCTACTATTTACTAGAAATTTCCTGAGAGATAACAGAGTCAAGGAGCCGTTCGATAACGGCGACGTGCAAGGTTCGAGATTGATACCGAGATCGAGGGTTTCGGCGGTGGTCACGGTTTCCTCGAGTAACGTTCAGATATTCAGGAATATCCTGCACAATCCGGAAGCGAGCTACGAGATTGGCTCGCACTTGGAAGATCAGAGTAAAATCATCAACTGCACGTACAATTGGCTGGGTTCGAGCGAGCAGCCGGAGATATTCGAGAGGCTATTTCATAGGTGAGCTTTGTTTTCGATTCAAGTGGAAAAATCAACGTTGTGCGCGTGGATGCTTGCCTAAAGATTCGCTTACGTTACAGAAAAGACAGATACAACTTGGCGAAGATCGAGTACATGCCGTACCTGTTGCACAGCAGTAACCCGGCAACAAACACCATCAATCCAAATCCAACATTCGTGCCGCGTTTCCTTGCTCCAGGCACGAACATCGTGGGCGGCGAAGTCGACGGTCAAGAGATCCTCCAAGCCGGCGAGTACATCGTCAAGCGCGACATCAATGTCCGTCCGGGTGGCAAGCTTATACTACAACCTGGTGTGACATTACGCTTTCCTCCAGCGGTCGGCATCATGGTAGCAGGTAAACTTGACGCCCACGGCACTGGTCCGAGCAACATTCTCATGACGCTCAAGGAAGAGATCGTCGTGACCATTGACAATGATACTATGATGGACACGGGGGATATGAACGAACCGATGGAGATGCCCATTGTCGTCGAGGAAAGCAAGGTGCCGGTACGATTGCTTGGTGGCAAGACTAGTCACGAGGGTCGACTGCAGGTCAGCCAATTATTTTACTTTGCCGCTTCTTTGTATTTGAACGAACGACTACCTCGAGCATTCGTCGATTGCAGGTGAAAGTAGGAGACAAATGGGGTACAGTGTGCAACTACGGCTGGACGATGCGTGACGCAGCCTTGGTCTGTCAACAGTTAGGCTTGACGCTCGATCCGGACAACTGGTACATGGAGCGCTCGCAGATTTCAAGTGCTGGTACGAACGAGGACATAGTGCTGAGTAACGTACAGTGCACGGACGACGACATCGACGTGTCGCGCTGCAAAGCCGAAACGAGCGAAGAGTTCGAAAACTCGTGCACTCACGAGAACGACGTCGGCGTCAGGTGCACCGAAGCCGCCTGGGCTGGATTGAGGCTGGGACCGCTTGCTCTCAGAAGCGATCTGCAGTACATTACTATCGAGAGGGCCGGATTGCTGGATTATACTACGAATTCGTTTAAGCCCGGTAAGTGTTCGTGAGCCTTTTTCGTGAACGAAGATTCAATGACATAATTAGCTTTACGTGTGTTTATCGACATTTTTGTACAGCACTACAGATCGATTTTGCGCGACATTCGCTCGAGGGTGTGAAAGTGGTGAACAACCTTCAAGACGGCTTGGGCGTGTTATATTCGGACATTTACTCAGCTGATGCAGTGAACACAGTGCGCAACAGTGATTTTTCAAACAACGCCGGCAGCGGCATGAGTTTCAAACAGCTCGGACTACGAATCGCCAGTTCCCGCCTTGAGAACAACAAGCTCGCTGGTATCAGGCACAATCCTGCCTTTTCGGCAATCCAGCAGCGAGAGTTTGCTGGCTGGTTCTACAGTTCACCCGATGCGTCACTGGATTCCAGCTATGATCCCATAATGGTACCTGAACACCACACAGACATTGAATTGGCCATGGGCGAGACCAAGTATCTCGTTACGAATAAGGTCTGGGGTGAGCCTATCGATCGTTATCACAACATCAGAGTGAGTTTTCTATTGTTATATATTTCTGTTGCGTAAAACATACGTAATATAAACTATAATGATTTGAATTCCAGGTTACGCCGGGCTACGTAGTTGGTATTCAACTGCTGAATCCAATTCACAATAGAAGTACAGAACAGATTATTTTACACGACTCCCCGAACATCAAACACAGTGCGAATTCCAACGTGTGGCACTTAAAACGAGATTTGACGGTATTCCCAGTTGCTTCGAGCTCGTACATCGTGATATTCGAGTACCACAGCGGTGACAATGCTTTGGGTGGTACCGTCATGGTACTCACGGCAATTCCAGCTCCCTATCAGGTGGATTTTATGGCTTTATCTGAAAAAAAAAGTTAGTTTCCCTGAGTTCGTGAAAATCAATAAATTTGTATTTGTCACAGGATATAAAAAATCGTATTGTACGAGGTCCAATTCCGTCACTGCGAGTATCAAACACGAAAATTCGTAACAATCGACAAGGCGTCCTTGCATCTTATTATAATCGTTATCTCGACGAGCTGGGCGATCATTATTTGCGTAAAGCCAATGAATCTATTCAATTTGTCAATTGTGAAATCTCTCACAATCACGAGGAAGCAATCTACATTCACTCACCGTATTGGAACGTTTACAATTCCAACATTTCCGAAATTGCAATTCACGTCAATAACAGGTAAAACAATTGGAAACTTTTATGAAGTAATTTACTGAATCGAGCTTATAAACTGATCAATTCTTTTTGTTTGCGCAGTTTGATAACGGACAACGGCAAAGGCATAATTCAGTACAGTCGTGACATGCGCCAATCTAACAATCTTTTCCACTGGGTCATCAAGGACAGTACGATCGAGCGTAATCAGGCTGGCGGCTTTGAAGTCGCATTACCTTACGTCTGGCAGTACAATGAGAATTTCACGCATACGATCTACATGGATAACAACACGTGGCAAGCGAACGAGCAATTTGCCTTGGTGATAGACGGTCACTATGCCAGCTTCAACATGTCGCGCAATCGATTTGATGGGAATCGTTGTAAGTTTGGTCTTATCTCCGTTCGCGGCATGGAGAAACGTATGAAGATCGTCGGCAATAAAATCCAGAGGAACATCGGCAATTACATGGTCGAGTTCAAGGCGGACAGTCAGTCGGAGATAATGGGCGAGATCGACGCGAGATTCATGTTCAACGAGGTGAAGCAAAACAGCCGTGGCGCGATCGCGTCGCGTGGCTTCCATCAGATGTTCAACACGCCCACGTATGTTGTGGGTTTTCATGGCATTCAAAAGGTGCGTGTAAATAGAAATTTGTTTGGCGAGAATTCTCTGGATTACGAGCTTCTCGCTGGCATCAAAACCGCGAAAATCAACAACAACGTAGATGTGACTGAAAATTGGTGGGGTACGTCTCTCGATCATCAAATAAGACAGCGAATATTTGATTTCGATGACTGGAACGATCATGCTGTGGCGAACTTCCGGCCTTACCTCGTGTCGGAATCCCTCGATTCGTCCATTTCAGCGTCTTACGAGCCTAAAACCGACGTGGACCTCGACAATCTCGGCGGCCGCATTGTCGATAATTTGTCGATATATCCGCGATCCAAACCATACGTCATCCGCTCGGACATCACTGTTATGCCCGACGCCACCCTGCACGTTTATCCGGACGTGGTAATGGAATTCGCTCCGAACGTTGGTATCTTGGTCCTTGGGACTCTGAAAGCCGTGGGTGCACCAGGCCACGAGATTATCATGAGACCCATTAGCGACAGGAACGAGATACCTTTAACGAATAAGAGGAGCATCGAGTCTGATACTATCAGACTGTGCAAAGATGAGAACTGTACCAACTCCACCAACGAGGGATTTCTGGAATATTTTAATCGTACGACTTTACAATGGATACCGCTTTGCGACACGAGATTCACTGAGCGAAACGCGCAAGTAGCCTGCCGACAACTGGGATTCGAACCTCTGAATGTTTACGTTTCCCGAGATCGACGATATGAATTACATCCTGGTTCTTTGTCGAGGATATGGTCGTGGCCCGAGCCTTTGCAGGTAAGCTCAAAGTCAGCTCATTTAATTTTTGTTTCTCTCAAGACCATCGATCGTAGTCACGCGCTTATGTCATTTTACAGTGTACGGGTAACGAGGAGAGCTTGGAAGAATGTCAAATCCGTCTGAACGGTCAGTTATTTGGCCACCGTTACGAGTGCCCATGGGATGGTAAATTCGTCTTCATCCACTGTGGTCAGCGCAACCTCGATCCATCCAGAAGCTACTGGGGTGGTATTCGCATAGCCAACAGCGAATTCGAACACTATCTCTACGAATACCGTATTCACGATGTAGTTACTCACGAGACCGTACGTCGAGTCGAGTCGGTGTTGCAATTCATCAATATCACCGGCGCTGGCATTCTGCACAATGAGAGGTCACCGGCTATTCAGTCGATTATGAAGTCACCTTCTGTCTCAAGGGTTAGCGTTCACCAGAGCGCTTATCACGGTATCAATATTATATCACCGACACACACGGTAATTAACTAGTTTACATTCAACTTTACCTTTTGTCGATTTTTCATGCTCATTAAATGACGTTTAATGTTTGTAGATTGAGCTGCTGTTCAACCAAGTGAAAGATGTGCTTGGCAACGGTATAAATGTGTTATCGTTGACGGGAGAGGGTCGCGAGGCCGACGAAAGTTCCTTCACTCCTCTCAAGGATTTGAATATACCATATCACTTGTTCAGTATCGTCGATATCTGTGATACCACCAAAGAAGTTACCATCGAAGAGCGTGTCTTGCTTTACTACAAGTATGATAACAATCCGGTCAACTGCGTTAAAATATTCCGCAGTAATCATCGAGCCAAGCCTTTTGGATTTAGGTGATGAATTACATGTTTGTCTTATACTTTTAATAAAAAAATGACAAAATTACTAAACATTACGTGTTTTTTTCAGGCTGTTACAGTTTAATTTATTTAACTCTACCGGAAAACCCGGTAGACCGGATAGTTTGACACTTTACGATGGTGACATTTACAATGTTACGGTTAAAATGATTGACGAGTTGTATGTCAACAACCACAAGGAAAAGAAATTGTTTAGAACTCAGGGACCAAGTCTTAGTGTGAAGTTATTTGCCACTGGAGCCAGCAGCGTTCACGGTTTCATTGCGGAAATCGTCACTTTACCCATCTCTGCGATAGGATTTAGTGAGTATTAATTTTCACGTAATTTTTTTTTTATAAAAGGTCCATACGCGGAGTAAACATTTAATGATAATTTTTATTTTCTACTACAGATCGCGACGTGCAGCATAACATATCGTACTCTGTGATGTCGAAGTGTCAAGAAGGAGCTGTCAGATATTCTAGCGCTGGAGAAGTCAATGCTGTGATTACGCTCGAGAGGAATCAATTTGTGGATAACTGCGAGAAGCTTTACGGAAACTTTAGCACCTGCAAGGCAGCTGTGTCATTAGACGTTCAAAATACTCAATCTGTTTATTTTAGGGTAAGTTAAATTTTGGATAATTTGTTTGAATGCTCGATAGAAAGTGCGTCTTATGACATGTTTGTATCATTTTCAGAATAATCTGGTTATGAAAAATCAAGGAGGTTTAAGTATTAGAGCCGACTCCCGCGGTTCGGCAACTTCTCTCAAAGGTTGGATTCATAACAATCTGTTTGCTGAGAATTACGATACACCTGCTCTGTAAGTTTCTCTCTTTCTGCTCTGTCAACAGTCTACTAGACTTCAAGACGCGTTGAAATTCTAACTTGTTTCTTTGATTATCAGGTATATTGAAGGTCGTCAAAGTAGCCCCTATCAAGAAGTGACGATATTCAGAAACTATTTTACGAAAAACAACGCTACATACGAAAATAACATCGTATTGAAGCAAGTGGTTAGCAACATGACTTTGAATTACCTCCATGGCAATCTGGGAAAGCACTTGCTGGAGATCTCAGGTTTCGAACGCGTACGACTTCCGATTTACCAAAGTACTTCGCACAATGGATTTTACAAGTGAGTATACGTCATTCGAATGTCAAAATACAAAGAGCCGAGTAAGCTCACAGTTAACCTCTTGAACGTTTACTTCAGAAATTATGCTGTGGATCGCGACGGACGGAGCACAATTGTCGCAGGAACACCTGGTCAGCAGTACGTCGACAATATATTCTTTAATCCCGACAACGACTACGAAATGCTGACCGTCAACAGATCTCTGTGAGTATATTTAAGCTTTTGAGTCTATTGTGTAGTCACTCTTGCAAAATAATTTTTTCAAAGCCAAGTATATTCTTGAAACTTAATTATCTCTATATACATTAATTTTTGTAGCTAAAATTTTCGTTATATTGCCTCTCGTAATGTAATATTGTAAGCCTCCGACTTCCCATACGTTTTTTTTAATTTACGTACTTATTTTTCATTTCATACTATCGATTCGCATGCACGTTATTAAATATATCAGCGTGGTCGACGCCGAATGGTACACTAAGTAAGTACACGACTGAATTTGTCGTGCTTTTATCAAAAATTATATATGTGCGAACGCTTCGCCACCGCCATTGCATCCGAATTCAGATGCATTGTCTCTCAACATCATCAAAGGTTTATTGTCTCATTTTTATGTTCGCTATAGTTGTCGATCAAACGATTGCACTTTTCTTTTAATTAATCTTTTTCATTTGAATTTACTTTTGAATTTTTATTAACTTTTAAGATTTTCAATATTTTTAAATATGCACACATTGTGTTAACAATTGTAAGTAAACAAAACACAAGGTATTTCAACAAAATATAAGATTATTCAAACTTCATTTAATACTGCACATCGAAATAATCCTACATTAGTCTAGATACAGAATATTAATCATTTTTCAAAATTATGCCTTTCCACTTATCTAAATAAAAATAGTCTGAAGTTTATGATTCTGACAAACGTATACTAATGTTTGGAAATGATTGTAAGTGATTGTAAGTTAAAAGATCCTAGTTTTCACCCGCAAATGCTGATTTCCTGTGTATTCGCCTCTTGACCGTCATAAACGTGCTTTGCTCAGCTTAGACTTTTCCAATTGTCCAAATGGCGATACGCTAATCCAACGAAATGCTTGAATAACCATTGACACTGTTTCCCCGCAGTCAATTGGAGATGTGGCGCTCGAATGTGGACGCTCGACACAACTACTGGGGCTACAACGAGACGCTCGCAGTGGCAGGTCGAATTCGCGATCGCGGTGACTCGCCGGAGCTCTTGCAAGTGGAGTTTACGCCTTACCACATGAACAACGTGTCGGTGCTCGGTGGCAAATGTCCTCCCGCTTGGAATTTGGTCGGCGACACTTGCTACATATACATCGGCGCACCCATGGACTTTTATTCGGCGCGAGATTTCTGCAGGGTATGCTATTGCAAATTTTCATAAGGGAAATTAGACCGATCTCGTGCCGTGTATGAGCAATGTATTTTGTCTTTCACGAAGGCCGCCAATGCATCGATGCCATTTATCATGGGCGATTACATCGAACTTTGGAAGTTTTTGCGCAAGCAGCAGGAGCGGTTCGATTATTCGGAGCGCGTTTGGATTCAACAGCTTGATAGGATCGACCAGTGTACCATGTTTACGTATCAGACGATAGAGGTGGACGTGTGCGGACAGCCCAATCCATTCGTATGCGAAATCGGTGAGTTGCGCGACTTTTCGCGCGAAACATTTGCCGCACTCGAGTTTGACCACACGACATGGATTCTCCAATTCTCAGATCCGCGCGTTTACATCGACCCGCTGTCATGGAGGAAGGATATCGTCGCAATCGGAGTTCTGAGTGCGCTCGGGGTCGCTCTGGCTTTGCTAGCTGCAGCTATAGTTCTGTGGATATCCAAGTCGAAGAGGCGCCAAGTCGAGCGTCTAGAAAGGAGAAATTCAATCAGGCAGTCACTCCACTCGTTGCGCTCAGTGGGCTCCACTTCCGGCTTTTCTGAGCTGGCTTACCAAAGAAGAAAACCGATACCGGTCAGTCGATCGTCTTTTTTATAGTCATCCCCAATCCTTCTTCCTTTACATCCATATCACTTACACTTTCTCATGCCGCTAGAATACTGTTAAACGTCTAAACGAATAAAATTTGTTTATTCGCTTTCTGTTTACACGCCTAACGCTACGAATCTTCGGCAATCGGCTTTCAATAAAAATCACTTAGTTTGTTTAACAGTATTCTCCATAATTTATCTAACTCGCCGTTGAGTAGGAAATAAATATTCTCGAACATTTCTTCTCTTTTCATCACTAATCCTACGGCTCTAATTGGCAAAATAGCCGCCAACGAAGGAAAAAAAAGTGGTTCTGGTACCACCAATGCAGGTCAGAGCACAATATAATCACCAATTTTGCATACTCTCTGTCGTACGCTTTAGCTCTGTTATCGTTATAGTTGTAGTGCTTGTGATGATTTGTTGGCCATGCAATTAGTGCTGTTCATGTCTATGCTTCGCGAATACACTCAACAGTCTATTATTTTTCGGGATGATTTCACACGGAACTCAACAGATTTTATTAACACAGATTTGATTTGATGATTAAGATTTGCATATGTAATGCGACATTTTTCAAAAATTAAAACAAATATATGCACATATAAATTTTAAAGAGCACAAACTAAAAATTGACAAAGCCGCTGATTCACCAGTAAAGTTCACTTCAATTTAATGTGAAACATTCTCTTAATATTCGTGTCGCTATGACTGTGATTTAAGGAGAAACTAATTGAACCCATCAACTTTCAGACCAAACAGTCGACGGACACGTTGAATTCTCGTACCTTGGACTACAAAAAGATGTCGAACGGTGGTAGCCTAGACTCGATGGACAAATCCCAGCTGAACTCGTCTCTCGAGGACAATCAGTGTTACGACGTGTACGAGGCGCACAATCCACGTTACTCGCCCGGCACTAGCAGCGGTTTGCCGGCTCACAAGTTCACCGGTGACAATCCAGCTTACGATCTAACCTACCGCAACGAGGGCTTCCGCAACCACTCGACCTTTACGTCGCGCAACAATAGCGCCTGGCAATCCGAAGCTGACAGTGTGGCTACTCCGGAGGTAATTCATTTTCGCACTTTCCGATGTGCCGGTCGATGCGCAAAATACATAACGCGCGCATCGCTTTGATTGTTGAATGTAAAATTTGTAGGAACTGGCGAGACCGAACAGCGAGCACGTGGACGTCTCCTCCGGCTACCTAAACAATGTCTCCACGCTGCCCTTGCACTCAAGCCTCGGCACAAGCGACTCGATAAGCGAGCTGAAGCGCGATCTGCGTACGACCAACTCGTCCATCGACTATGATAGCGTGGGCGTACCGGTGAACGGCCACTACGAGAACAGTCCGGTCACGCCGCATTCCGAGCCTGTACCCGAGTACTTCAGTAATCACAGTGCTACCCTGCCGTACTCGCATCATCACCGCAACAATAATTATTATCACGCTGATCACGATGATTACTACTACGAAGATCGACCGCGGAGTGAAGCTCTACTCGAGACCAATCTCGACGAGGACCGCCCGCTGAGATCCAAGAGCGAAGCTATCCTCGAGACCAATTTCGACGCGTTCGCACCCAACCAGCCTACCGAGCTCACCCAGCTCTCTACTGTCGGCAGGAGCAAGAGTCAACCGCTCGAAACGGCAATGTGATTTTCTTTATTTACAATCACACTTTTTTTTCTATAGTCAGATATTATCGAGCTGCTTATCTACGCCACTCTGGGCGTCTACGTTTCAGGTTGTTTAGCGGGTGTACGGATCGCTGTTAATGGAAAGCCCCTCTGTCTGATCCATATACTTGATCTCTTTAATTTTTATGTAATTTTCTACGAGGATATTTCGATGATCATTATTTTCGGCGTCGTTTAGTTAGTTCATAGGAACAATTTGTACATTCCCGCGGTTAAGTCAGGACAACGTATTTTTTTCTTTGCTTCGCATACACTTACTAGTTGAAAAGTAGATAAAATTTGTTTAAAACGGTACCGTTTGATTTTTTTTTACTTTGTGTTTATTTAACAATTGTGGCTCTCCAAGTTTATTATTATAACTATTTCGTACAAGTTTTTAAGTAGGAATAAGTTATCGCATTATTTAAATACGTCAACACAGCGTTATAATCGTCACGATTAATTTGGTCGTCACATTTCGTTATCAATTAAGTTCACATTAGTTCACATGTTGATAATGTTCGTTTTCCATGAATATATAGTTCTATATGAATGTATAGTTTAGTAAACTTATTTTTATGACTTCATGGTCGTCAGATCAAGGGAATGTTATATGCATATTTACTATATATATATATACAAAGCGTTATATTTATATGAAACTTTTTTATTTGATAAAAGTAAATTATAATTAGGAAAAGGATCGATCACTGCCAGGACTTTCATTATTTCTGTCGAAAAAAGTCGCTCAATGTGATATATATAAAGCAACTTACTCGTACGCGATGCGAGATAAGTGAGTGCGACACGTATAAAAATATGTATTACAGGCATACATTGATTTCCCGACTAATATTATACGTAATTAATAATTTTCTATTGCAAGATATATAAGTATATTCGATTAACAAAAATTTATGATTTGCGAAGATTTTTGGGGATTCGCGATCTATTTTCGTCATCTGTGCTTCTAACTAATCCTGACTAATTGTCTCTATATCTATAGCTTCCTTTTCAATCTTCTTATTCTCCAATCCCCAATCACAGGCACATCCGTCCAATATTATTAGGCGCTTAAACCAAGATATGGTCTTCCGTTGCATTATTTGACTGTTAGGTATCTCGTAATGCACAATCATTTATAGTTGCTAAAGGTTGTATCGACTTATCGCAGTCATTTCTTCAAAACAAAACGAAAAATGCGACGTCGCAATTGAAATAAATACAATTACTTGTTTCGGAGAAATAGATATGCCTAAGTCAAAAACGCACAGTTACGAAATTTACGATTTCAAACATTTAGTGCCTTATCAAGTTGATTGCATATCAATCAAATATTGCAATGGGAACATTCTTGAGCGACTAGATTTACATAAGAAAATGTATCATATAGTTATATAAGTAGCAATTTATTTTACGTATATAATGTACATTTCGAATTAGAATTTAGCTAAAAGTATCGTAGTAAGTTGATTTCATACGACTTTTATAGCGAAGTTGAACTTCATTGTTAAAGCACATATATCTACGTAGAAAGTATATCAATTCACAGCGATCAATTTTTTTCTATAAGATTGTACTAGTTGTTAATAATTTCAACAGATTTCCAAGAAAACGACATATTTTATAGACTAAGCGCGGCAGTCAACGATGTCATCGTTTGCGAAATAATTTAAGTTATTTCCGACTTTTTCCAAGCATTGGCTTGAAATTTTTCCGTTTGTTAATACACACAGGAGAAAGTCAAAATTATGTCTGACTTGCGTATTGCGCGCAAAATCAACTAATTGAACTATCGAATAAAATCCTTTTATATTTGAGATCGAATGTGCAGCAATGGCTAAAAGGCATTGATATATAAAAATAAATATTAAGTAAATATAGAAAGTACATAAAAAAAACTTGCGTTAACGAGAATGTCCAAAAAATTGATCGCGAACTTGTAAATATGCGTCACCATTGATTTCGTGATCATTAATTTTATACTTACATCTATATAGTTTGTAGATAATAGAAATAAGATACTTTGTGTATTAATCATGATTGTGATCAATGATTTGGACATTCCTAATGATATAAAAATGTAATAATAATAAGCGCTTGTATATTCTGACTATGTACTTTAACACGTACATACATAGTGTAGGTGACTCGCAGGTTAATAAACTTGAGGAGCTTGAAAAAAAAAATTAGTCGGCAAATACGAGCCTATAATCTGCGTAAATTTTTTCACTTACACGTGCTTTTGTACATTTTATAAGAACATAAAGTAATAAATAGACAAATTAAATACATGTTTTTGGTATTTTATTGTCGAAATCGCATTCAATCGTTTTACTTTTTGATTTTGAATTATCGTTTTTAATAATATTTACACTCGGACATAATTGTTAAGCAAATATTTAATAATTACAAGAAAATTGTCAATAATTTGATAGAATTTTTTGCAAGTATCGATTCCAATCATTAGAAAATCGGCAGTATGTGTTCCTGCACCTCCAAAATGGATGCTTAGTATACTTGGTCACACTGGATATAGTATACACTAAGCTGAACTTCCGACTCTCTACCTTGCACGGTTGGTTTATATTGTAACTGATTTTCCGTAGCTAATATGTGTATTTTATCAATGTAGGTAGATTGAACAGTGCAATAATTCTTGTACATTCTGTGTTTTGGCATTGATGTAGAAACTTGGTTCACTCTAAACTTTTTAAACTAAGCAAACGGCGTGTAGCCTGTGTTTAAGCCGACTTTTATAACGCGCTCCAGGGTGGCAACTGTCAAAGACTCTGTCTATGAGATGTAGGTATTCATAATACGTTTTCTTTTCTTTGTTCTTGTACGAGTAACTACAGTTTTCATTGACTCCACTCAATCACTTATTAGTAATTTCTTTATTTTTGTATTCTAAGACTAGAAAAAAGTGCATTAAAAAGACACAATTACTCCAATTTTCAACTCATCAAAAAAACAAAAGTATCTTATTTAAAGAAAATTTATTGTCTAATCCGTCAAGTATAAAGATGTTATCAAAAATCTATATTTAAATATTTTATTGCAATAGCAATCAACTTTTTTTATACTTTTATATTTGGTTAGTGCTATACATCATAATAACAACGGAAATCATTTTTTATGTCTCCAAAAGCTACAGCAGATGTGAGACCCCCTCATAAATGATGCGAAACTAAAATTTTCAATTTCAATGAATTGTTATAAATTTATTTGTGAAAGTTATCCCATAAAAAAGTTTGTAATGTTTCATTGAAACTTCAATAACATGCTTTCAAATTTTCAAGTAAGTGATCTTTACAGTTTCTTAGAAAGAAAATTTTGTCTTTTGTTATCTGTATAAGGATATATGTCGACAAGAAAAGAGCTTAGTGTAATCGTGTACCGAAGTGGGGATTACTTACTGATCTACAGATATTGCATCTGTATAGTGCTATCTTATTATCTTTTACAGGCAATGCAAGTGTGATGAGAAAGTAAGTAAAGGAGAAAGAAGACAAAGTAGACTGTGAAATTAATATTCTATTTTTTTTTCAAACAAGAAATAATCAATACGGAATAAAACATAATATTGACAGGTAATAACTAAATTTATTTATTAATTTATATATTTATATATACCATGATAATTAGATACTATAGTCATAATTTTAAAAAAGTTTGCATAATTTGACCATTTTTCAGTTTATATTTAAAAACAATGGTTATTGTTGTATTGTAAGAATTCAAAGGAAATTTGAATTTTAATAAACATATGTCGTAACTTTCTGAACGAATCACATGTCTAAAATTATAGAGTAATATTGACAAATCAAGAGAAAAATGATGTACCGTTTTGAAAATGTATGGATTTTGTCCATTTTGAATTTTCAAATACGGCAATTTTTTTAACTGTTCACAAGCATGTTCAACATGTTATATATTTATAATTACGAATAATTCTTATAAAATTTGTACGAGAAACGAAAAACTAGCAGTGACCTTTTCAGGTAAAAAATATTGTTTATAGTGACTTTTCTTCTTTCCTTCGTAGACCCTACATTTATTGTAAATTGAGATAAATCTAACGAATATATTATTCTGCATAATCCATTACATTGAAAGCAAGAAATTTTGAAGCACTTGATTGATCTCCGCGACGATAAGTATACAACTTTTTCTGTATTGGTTTAGCTTTTTTGTTTAGTAATAATTCAAACAAATATTCTTATTATAACGTTTTTTTTCAATATAATCCCATAAAACTGTTACACAAATAAGTTCATTTAAAAATGCAAATTATTGATCTTTCGAAGTAAAATTCATTAAATTACAAAGTAATTTTTTTAATACAGATACCATTTTATCGGCATTGAGAAAATGGTATCACCAAGTTCACTGTAAAGTAACTCAACTTTAACAAGATCTCAACACATTTGCGCTTGCATTTAAAAAAATCATACCCCGAATGTACGATGTGAACGTCAAGGCTATCAAGGAAAAGTCAAAGAATATTCGTTTGTATCATTTATTAAAAAGTACACAGCTATACCGTTGCCTGTTATCATTAGCATATTAACCTATTAAGGCCTATGCAAAATCCGGATACGATAGCAACAAAGTAACTGCGTCATCCTTTGCATAATCAAAAAATAAAATATACGTGTTTTTTTTGTCATTTGCAATCGTTTATAAAAATATATTCAAACAAATGACTAGAAAATTCATAATTTTGAAAAACTGAATTCAGTAATCGATTCTACGGGAAAAATCGTAACACAAACCTACGTATCATTTTTTTTTGTCAGAGTGTAATTTGTCGGTGTAAAAAGAGGATAAACAATTGCATCCCAGAGAGTGAAAGTGACTATGTCTAGTCCCAAGCAAAAACTGGATACGATAGCAACGAAGTAACTACGCCATTCTTTGCATAATAAAAAAATAAAATATACGTATTTTTTCTTTTGCCATTTGCAATTGTTTCTTTTCTAGTCATTTGTTTGAATAATTTTTTATAAACAATTGCAAAAGACAAGCGAAAAAACACGTGTATTTTATTTTTTGATTATTGGATTCTTAAAATCTTCTTAAACCTTGCTATTGCTTGTTGCATTTTGCTGTGCTACTTTCAAAGGATGATGCTGATGATATTGCTTAAAGGTATTTTGATCTGGATGATAAGTCAATGATTCCAGATACACGTCGACAAATACCACTCCGCATGGCTTTTTACCAACTGGAACAAATGATCGATCTGTATCATTACGTGTAAAAAAGAACACGAAATTGCGGTGAGAAATCTATTGACATATAAGGTGTTACACTTACAATGGAAAGTCATTAGCTTCCAGTAGTGACATTAGCGATTCGAAACCACTGCGTCCTACAGTTGTGTAGGCATTAATGTCGTAAAAAGGTTGCTACAACGTGAAGCCGATGCAAATGTATAACAGATCTGGCTTGATTCCCTCTGAGTACTGGCAAGTACTCTATTGTCTTGATAGATATCTTTGCGTGTGAGATTTGTTTTAGTCACCTGCACGTCACCCTTCTTCGATAACGACCATCATATGTATTTTTGGTTTTTGGGATATGCTGCATTTTCCCATTTAGCATTCGATTTAGCGCAAAGAGCGCGAGTAAAATTAAGCAGTGTATTTTTTTTATTAATTATCAACGTGCGAATCGAAAGATCGTATAACTGTTGTAACTTAAACAGCTCTAAACGTGGTGGCGCGATTTGACAACGAGAAAACAATTTGAGCCTCGATTGTTCATAGATCCGATATAAATCTTATTGGTATAAAAACAATGAGTCAGCTATTACCCAACATTTTCAATTCTGCCACTAATGGCAGCTACTGAATAGAGCACACTTTAAGCACGTTAATTTTATATTTGCTATAGTTTGTGGATAGATTGTAAAACACTTTGTGCAGTAATCATCCTTTTAATTATAATAATTTGATTATTCCGAATGATATGAACAATATATAGGTGAATAAATAGTCATTGTAAATTATTCATTTACTCGTGGCTTTGTAGGCATTTCAGAAAATCTCTATTTCTGAAGTAATATATAAAAAAATTAAATTCATTTTAAATAATTTTTATTGAGCCCATTTTTTATCAAATAATGTTTCAAAATTATGATAAATGCGAGTGTTATCTGAACTCGAATTTATCTAAGTTAGATGATCGTGAGACTCACGGATTACTTACACTTTCGTTTGAGGAAAAGTGATTTCGAAGAATCAGCTAACCTATCAATAATCTTTGATGACGGAAACGTGTAGTTTACAAAACATAGGCTTTGAGAGAAAGCTACAAATGGCATGAACTAGAATAGAAATGTTACCGAGAAGCGAAACAAGTAGCACAGTTTACAGAACAACCGATTACTTTTTCATTCCCGAGCTGACGAAATTATTGTACAACGGGAAAAAAGCAAAGGCAAATATTTGACAGATCATATCGACAATTAGCGTGAAAAAAGATTGGATAATTTATTACGTTTATTCCTAGTAAAGATGGCTCGGTTAGAGGATGTTCTGACTTTCATCTACCTGTGCGGCGATCCAAGCATAAGATAAAAATGAAGATACAAAAGTCCGAGCTGTCCCTTAATAGGTGAGTCCTTTTTTCCTGTCGGCATGATCAAGTGTTAGGCGCCAGCTGGTCTTGCCTGCCTTAAAATATGGACTTCCCTCATTGTTGCTTTTGTTCCAATCCGTCGTGATTCATCTATTCTCCGAACTAATCAAGTAAAAAAATTCGTTACGAAAAATAAACATACGGACTATCTGCAAATCCGCGACATGTCGAGACGAGTGAACGGAGCAATACCGATCAAGCCAGATCGCGAGTTCAAATCTCCATCGACATGCATGCGCGCGCGTGTACGTGTAGCTTCGCCGAGCAAAATGGCTTGGCGCACTCGGCGAAAATTGGTTGACGAGACTAATCAACTTAAGACATCACACCGCGGACTTCCTTCTGGACCGATTAGTCGGTCAATCAAAAGCGACGCGGCTCGCGCGACGACGAGCGCTTCAATTCGCAGCATCCGATCAGACGACGCGCGCGTACGCGCTGGTCGGTTGACCAAAGATACACACGCGGACGCGATATCTCGTCATGAAATAGTGTGTAACGTCCTTAGCGATCGCCAGAGGAGGCCGAAGGTGGGAGAAGGCTGGTGAGCGAGACGGCGGCGCTTACTGGCCCGCGGAAAGTCGAAGGAATGCAGGGAGGACGAGAAGGAGAGAAAGAGACAGAGAGCGAGAGAGAGAGAGAGAGAGAGAGAGAGAGAGAGAGAGAGAGAGAGAGAGAGAGAGAGAGAGAGAGAGAGCGCGAGAGAGAGAGAGAGAGAGAGAGAGCGCGAGAGAGAGAGAGAGAGAGAGAGAGCGAGCGAGCGAGGTCTCGAGAAATCTTTGGTGGGCTACCCACGCAGCAGCAGCAGCAGCAGCGGCGGCAGCGGCGGTAGCGATGGCAGCGGCAGCGGCATCAGCAGCAGCCAGTAGTAGTCGTGTATCGCTCGCAGACTCCGCAGCAGCTTTCTCGCGAGCGCGAAACGCAGATGCGGATGACGCGCCAGCGCTCACCTGTTGTCCTCGGTAACGACTCGGCAGTACTGCGTCGCGGCTAATCTCCGCGCTGGCTCTTCCCCGACCCGTGGCGAACAGGATGTACCGCGCGCCGCCGCTACCACCGCCGCCGCCGCCACCGCTGCTGCTGCTGCTGCTGCTGCTGCTCGCCGTCCTGGCGGCGCAGGCGGAGCGCCCAAGCGGCCTCTACGTGGACAACGGCCACGACCAGACGGTGGTGCACCGAGTGGTCAGCAGGCAGGAGAAGCGCGAGGTCGAGCACGAGATCCTGAACCTGCTCGGGCTGCCCGACCGGCCGCCTGCCAGGCAGCACGCGCCGCAGGTGAAGCGCTCGGCGCCCAGTTTCCTGCTGGACATCTACTACAAGCAGGCGCTGGACGAGCAGAGCGGCGCCGGCGCCGACTCGCAGTTCGACCTGAGCGGCCAGGACCTGAAGACCATCGACCAGAGCGACGTGATCATGACCTTCGCCGCGCACAACCAGCACGTGCCGGGAGTGCGCCACGAGCGCGGCAAGCGGCTCTGGTTCGACGTGTCCGAGGTGCCGCCCAACGAGCACATCATCAACGCCGAGCTGCGGCTCTACCGCAGCATGGACGGCGCCAAGTCGAGCAAGCTGCGCGGCTCGTTCACGCTCACGGCCTACCGGGTGCTGCGGCTGGAGGACGGCGAGCGCGAGCTGCAGTACGTGGACGCGGTGAACGCCAGCAGCGGCCGCGAGGGCTGGCTGGCCATCAACGTGACCGAGGCGTTGCAGCGCTGGGTGCAGGACCCGGCGGGCAACCGCGGCCTGTACCTCTCGGTGCACCCGGCCGACCGCCACGTGCACGAGACCAAGCCCGAGGACATCGGCCTGGTGGGCTTCAAGGGCAGCCTCGAGCGGCAGCCCTTCCTCGTGGGCTTCTTCAAGAGCTCGGGCCTGCGCGAGCGCAAGGTGCGCCAGAAGCGCGAGGCCAAGCGCAAGAAGAAGGTGGACGTGACGAGCCTGGACTACCGCGGCAACCCCTACAGCGACCCGCAGCAGCTGCAGTACAGCACCAAGACCTGCAAGATCCAGACGCTCTACGTGAGCTTCCGCGACCTGCGCTGGCAGGACTGGATCATCGCGCCGGACGGCTACGACGCCTACTACTGCAGCGGCGAGTGCAACTTCCCGCTGAACGCGCACATGAACGCCACCAACCACGCCATCGTGCAGACCCTCGTGCACCTGGTCAACCCGGGCAAGGTTCCCAAGCCCTGCTGCGCGCCCACCAAGCTCTCGCCCATCTCCGTGCTCTACTTCATGGACGAGAGCAACGTCATTCTCAAGAAGTACAAGAACATGGTCGTCAAGAGCTGCGGCTGCCACTAGCGCGGCGCCGCGGGCCCCGATCGCCGTCGGACGCGCGTTCCGTGCGCTCTGCGCCTTTTCTGCCTTCTCTGCGCTGTCGATGTGCTTGCGCGCTTGCAGCGGCCTTCCACTCGCACCATACTTTCCTTTTAATCCCGGCCGCTCGCTCCGAATCTTCCCATCGACACCTATACGTCACGCGTCTATTTCATATTATACGCTTTGTAGTTTAAGGTTCAACGGCAAACACTTCGTCGGCCATTGCCGTTAAACATTCTCTTTTTACGACAAAAACTCACTCTATTTTTCTAAGCTTAGGCGTTAAATAGTTATCTCATGACAATCAATTGTATTATAGTACATTTTTTTAATATTAAATTATCGTGTAAATTTATTCTGCTACAAGAACCTTACATTATAAGACGTTCTATTAAGCGGCACCAATTGTATATGTATAAAACAAGATAAATACATAATAAACTTCAAACCTTCTGTAAAATAACTTTGTACGTATTCTTAATGAAGATTATATTATGTCTCAAGATCGATTTTATTATTTCTACCTTCTCCCTGTTCATATAACAATTATTTACGTAAAAATAATTAAAGCGATGTGAAAGTTGCTGCTAAAACGCACGGACATTGCTTCACGTAATCGCATGCCTGCCAAACTTTCATTGATTATTGAAATATATACGTCAAAAGATGTTTGTTTCTCCAATATCTCAATAATATTTTGGTTTTTTCAATTTAAAATATTCTCATTTTAAATATACAGTGGTCCAGAAAATTCTTCATATTACCGAAAGAGGTCCAAGAATAAGGTTAGGAAAATGTGCTTTCAAAATTACAAAATCATATAAAAAAATATTGTATAAATATATAGGAATTGAGCGTATGGAGGGAGGGGATAACAGCGCTACAGTTACTTCAAAAATGTTGATACGAGCTCTTATAAACAGATGCTTCATTTATCTCGTGACCGTCACCGGCCATAGAACTAAATTTTGACTTTGATTGTTTTTGTTTGATTCCAAAAACATCGATGGCGCCACAAGCAGTTGTCGGTCCCTGCATGTAATTGTTCACGTTGCGTATAGTCGTATAGTTTATTGCAACGAAACGAACAATAAATAGTCAATCTTCGTTGCTTATTGTTATTAAATATTGTAGATACATTAGTTTGTTTTTTTGATAAACAGTTGTAAAACTTAATGAACACATATTACATATTACAGTATGCTGACATACAATTAGTGAAATGTATATATACAATTAACAAATTAAACAAAGAAATATCTTTCTTACAAATAATATAATTATAGATTAATAAAGTGATTAAAAAAGAATTATAATGTTGGCAAATTTGGCGAAATTTTGTTTACAAACTAGTGAACAATCAATCTTACAGTTGAGAGTTAATAGATTTGCTACAAAGCTTTCAGTAAGAATATACTTTAATTTTGATCTTGAATATTTTTAATTATTTGTAAAACTTTATTTTAAATTCAATAATCATTGTAGAAAGTATCTGTAGAAGATTATACTGATGATGATGATGACTATGATTTTGAACCAAAACATGAAAAAGAATCTGAAGAGCCTCCAGAGGTCGTAAAAAAATCCAAAAGGCCAATTATAATACAGTGTAAAAGATCAATGTTCAACTTTCATGAAGGTGATACTTATCCTAAATTTCAACCAATACCTTTGGCATCAAGAGCATGGCAACATAGAAAATCAAATGGCGATTATTTTACTATATACCCATTAAAAGAGGTAGATTGAATAATATACATTTATTTAAAAGTTGTATAAAGTCTCATATTATCACATAATACATATTAATTTATTTTCAGGGACAGGAAGAACATGAATTGAATCAGTCTTACAGTTTTCAAGATCTCAATATAAATGAAAAATTGTTAAAAAGTCTTGAAGAGAATAATTTAATACACCCAACATCAATACAAAAACTAGGCATTCCAAAAATATTGGATAATCACAATGTAATTCTTACAGCTGAAACAGGAAGTGGAAAAACTTATGCCTTTTTAATTCCAATTTTACAACAAGTCTTGAAATGGAAGCCCATGAAAGATAGAAGTTGTAACAGACCACTAGGACTTATTCTTACACCAAGTCATGAGTTAACAAAACAAATTGCAGTAAGTTAAAAATTATTTGATTAAAATCTTTGTCATCAAATCTACTATATTTTGTCTTTTGATTTCTTTAGAAGGTAGCCAAAAAGTTAGCCAAAAATTTGGAAATAAACATTGTCACTCTCACTGGAGGAAAAACCAAGAGAATAATATCTAATCCACCAATCACAGAAGTTGATATTGTGGTAGCAACTATAGGTGTCATGAAAAAATTAGTAAGAATGGGTATTTACAAATTAGATGAAGTGAAACATGTTGTTCTTGATGAAGCTGACACTTTATTTGATGAAACTTTCACTGATTATACTTGTAATTTATTACGCAAAGTACAGGTACGTAAATTTTTTATGATGTGAAAATGATAATTTATTTCAATTTCATGCCCATTCTGGTCATTGTAGTAAGCTTTATAAATTGCACTAAAGATTTTTAGAATAGTATGGTATATATTTTAGAAATAGATTCAACAATTTTCTTAGAAAAAATAACTTTTAATATTATTATTAGATAAGTGCGGAGAGAGATCCAAACATTACATATCCCAAAACAGCACAGATAACTTTGAATTCTGCAACAATTCCTCAAAGTTTATCTGAATCTTTATATCAAGTTGCAGATGTAAGTACTGAAATTTTTTATTTTTCACTATCGTCAATTAACTTCTAATAAATTTATTATAATATCTTTAGAGGGAATCATTTTTGATGATAACAACAGGTAATGAACATCTAGTTCGAGTTCCACAAAAGTTTTTTAGACTTACTGGCCCAGAGAAACCAATGAGCTTATTAAAAATTGTAAAGCCAAAAGTCAAAAGTAAAACTCCAATTATCATATTTTGTAATACGACAGCATCATGTGATTTTATTAGTTTATTTTTAAACCAATTCAATATCAAATGTATAACTTTACATGGAAAACAGCGTCTAGAACATAGAAAAGGGAAATTTATGGAATTTCAACAGGGTGTTTGTAATATCTTAACAACAACAGATGCTGGAGCTCGAGGGCTCGATACATGTAAAGTTAAAAGTGTCATCAATTTTGATTTTCCATTAGTAACAGCAGAGTATATCCATAGGTAAGTGAATTTGAATAAATCAAGAGAATTTATCTTTCACATTTATCTTATATTTTCAAGCTCATATATTTTTAAAATTAAAACAGTATGACATTCAAATTTCAACAATTGGTTTAAATAATTAATTTATATATAATCATTTTAGATGTGGAAGAGTTGGCAGAATTGGCAGTCCAAGAGATTGCAGAGTGATTAACTTTATCAGTAGACCTTTGGAAATTATATTAGCTAAAAAAATAGAGTTTGCAATACGAAAAGGGAAGTCAATTCCTATGGTTGATATGGTTCATAAAGATAAAGATTACGAAGATGAATTTGTTGGTGCAAATAATACAAAAGAAGATTTCGATCCTGACAAAAATGAAAGCGATATTGAAAAAATGTCATTAGATACTAGCAATTAAAAATCTTATTGTACACCATAATGAGTACATGTTATATAAATATTGTTTTTTATTTAATGTATTAATATTAAAACTTTACTTTCATGAACACCTTTTTCCAAACTATATTTTGTGATATATCAAATTATTAATATGGTAAGTAGAATGATATTATTATTTGTATAATATTTATTTATTATAAAAGTGAATAAGTAAAAAAATTGTGAAATTAATTCAATTTGTTTGGCTGAAGACTCATCGGATTATTTAGGTGTATTATTTAATCTTTATTAAAGAATATTACATGTATAATACACTATCTTAAACGTAATCCCAATTAGCTGAAAATAATTAAATATATTAATCTTGCAGATTCTTTTCTTTTTTTTTTCTTAAACAAAGAATCTTAGAGTGAAACCTGTAATCGTTTTTATTGGTCGATTGAAATTAGGGATTTTATTTAGAATATTTGATTGGTCAATACGATTTCTTTTCTAAAACAAAGATTCTTGAAAAGTGAAACTTGTAAACGATTTGATTGGTCGAATGGAAATGGGGATTCAATTTTTTGGGACAGTTGTGATTGACCTATACGATGTGACGTATTTTGACGTAATTTGACGCCAATTATGTGCATAAACAAAAAATAAAAAATAAGGTTTATAAAGAACTGTTTCGAGATGATTAATAAGCCCTTTCGAATTCATTATTTTATTTACGTAGATTACATAATTGCAAATTTATAACAAAGTAAAGCAAGATATAACAAATTAAAAGAATGTATGTATGTACACCCAACGTGGATTGAATCGCGACCCCCCCCCAGTTAGGTTGGTATGAGAATTCCGTCGTTGCATCGGAACGAAAAAACCGCGGGAATATTCAAAAATGAAAATTCGTTTTAAGATACGATAAAAAGCTAAAACGTTACTAATTTGTTTTTAGGTTTAAAATTAATTGTTTGCGAACAATGAATTTAGATGCATGATTATTTGATTTTAGGTTTTAATTATATAATTTAAGAACGAGCGTTATACTATGGCCGATCTGAAAACCACCGTTACGGACTTAAAGTAGCAGTCAAAATCAAAGCTCGAATAGCAGACCTGAAAAAGTCTGTTTACACGTGTATATGTCTATTTTAAATGTTTCTTCCGAGTTTCTTATGCTTTTACCTGCTTTTGCATTAGCAAGGATTTATCGTTATGCTGGCATTTAGATAAGTTATTATTTATTTATTTATTTACTATCTACAATAGAATTTTCCCGCGGTTTCTTCGTTCCGATGCAACGACGGAATTCTCATACCAACCTAACTGGGGGGGTCGCGATTCAATCCACGTTGGGTGTACATACATACATATGTTGCCTACTGGTGCCATCTAAAGCCGAAGTTCCAATTACAGGTTTGAGGTTGAGGCTAAATGTTTTTCAGTTTATCCGTTCGGCACACCGTAGCTAGTTCCATGTGAGAACATTCGTCTTTTAATCATTTACTGATAACAGTTCGTTATTTGCAGTGTAAAAAATTTAATTAACTGAAGGTAATTATATCTGTTTCAGCATTTTTTACCAAAGTATTTAAACGCCTATATTTCAATAGCCCGGAAATTCGTTTTAATATTATTTTTGAGGTTAGGAAATAAAATTATATACATATGAAAATATTAAAATAGTTACAATAACTACTTTATAAGGGTCCAACAAGAATTAAATAGTAAAAATTATAAGTTTTTTTACGTCGGTGTAAAGAACATTTTATTAAAGGTATCATCATGAATATTATGGTGGGGACTAGGGCTCTTATATGAGATTTTAGGACTTGGAAAGAAAAATATAAAAGCATTTACCAGTACTTCAAGATGAAAAATCTTCATGATTCTAACTTCATTAGAACAATTTTTACATGACTGTAAAAAAAACTTATAATTTATACTGTTTAACTTGAATTGGTTCAGTTAAAGCATTATTAAACTCATGAAACTATTTTCAATTACAGTTTTTGAGTAAAATAAAAGATGCCTACTTGGAATCACATTCAAACTCAACTGAGAAGTCCAAATAATCCAGTAGTTTTCTTCGACGTATCAGTTGGAGCAACTGAAATTGGACGAATGATTTTTGAACTATTTGAAGATGTCTGTCCAAAGACATCAGAAAACTTTCGACAGTTCTGTACTGGTGAATATAGGAAAGATGGTGTACCACAAGGCTTCAAAGGTACCATATTTCATCGAGTCATTAAAGACTTTATGATCCAAAGTGGAGATTTTGTTAACGGAGATGGTACTGGTGTCCAAAGTATATATGGTGGTACTTTTCCTGATGAAAATTTTACTATAAAACATGATTCACCTGGTTTACTTTCGATGGCAAATAGTGGTAAAGATACCAATGGATGTCAGTTTTTTATAACATGTGCTAAATGTAATTTCCTTGATGGAAAACATGTGGTTTTTGGACGAGTTATAGATGGACTTTTGGTTATGCGAAAGATAGAAAACGTTCCAACAGGACCGAATAATAAACCTAAAATATCCGTGACAATATCACAATGTGGACAAATGTAATTTTAATTTCTATAATTGTAAAATTCGTTGAATGAGGTTTTTATAAATGACATATGATGTGATTTGATGCTAATGACTTTATTGTATATAACATTAGGCTCGATGTCACATGCTGAGATCTCTGTACCTATGTACATAATGCCGTGTTTAAAATAATAGTTGAAATTTTAGTTTTATAAATTAGGATAAAAGAGCTTGATTCATTTACAAATTTCTTTGGTTAGAATTTTACAAAATTTACAAATTTATATACAGGTTAATTTAAATAGGCAGTCTAATTAAATATTGCATGTTCAAACACTTTCAAACTTTATAATATTAGTTTTAAGTAAAATTTATTGTATTTTCTGCAGTTTTCATTTCACATAATACAGACAATATTCATATCTTTAACTAAAATGCGTGCTAATTTAATTTCATTAAATATTGTTGTAGTTTAAATAAAATAATTTTTCATTTGTGCTATAGCAATTTTACTGACAATGCAAATGAAATTATAAATTTCATTTTAATAGTCTTATTTATTATTTTAATTTATTTTATATGAAATATTTCATACAAACTTATTTGTTGCATATAATGTTAATAAAATAACTTTTATTTACCAGCATTGTAACTACTGCATTGTAATTATTAATAAATTGATTTAAAATAAATTAATTTAAAGATTTTTAATAGTGTTTATTTACCAGTGACTGCTAACTACTGCATTTTAAATAATAATTTATAATATAAGGTGAATGTTCCTAGTACTGGCATCCATCCACTATCCTGCACATTAAAAAAATTTGTTTTAAATGTAATTGAATATATTTAGGTAATATACAAGCAAAATACTAAATTCAATACTAATATAATGAACCTATCGGATGCAGTAAAGATTTTTTGGTTGTATAAAAATATCAAATCTATTTATTTATTTATTAACCATGGTACTATACAATCTACAATAAGTACGGTGTAGCTCAGCAAAGGAATAAATTTCTGTAAGCTGGTATAGCGATATTTATATGACAATATTAAGAGAGAAAAAGAGTACATTCAACTCTCTCATGTATAAGATCCATAATTATCGATCGTGAAATAAACGCGAATTAAGGAACTTTTTTCATTTAGTAGCGAAACCTTTCTAAATTTTACTACAGTAACATTAAATAATTCGATATTACTTTTATTTATCATGGCCTTTCTAAATTATTCACATTTTATAAATTTTCGTTATTTGTTACACTAACATGTTAAGCTGACCGGAATATCGGCGAGACATTCATTTTAAACCTATCGTATTCAAAGATTACTATAAAGTAAGCTAATGATCAAAAAATTTTTTCTAGCGTATAATAATTTATAGCAAGACATACCGCGGCTTTGTCGCTCCATGAACACAAAGCGCTACAAATGTCACAGGACTCACAGAAGACATCGTCCAAGCGACACAAAAGAGAAGGAGAAGGGAAAAGTATGTGAGCGAAATTCAGAAGTGAGCCGATTCGCGCAATTCGCGTATAGCTTTACCGTATAAAGTATGAGAAGTCCTTTCACGTTCGCTTCACGCTTTTCGACAATTGTCGCGTACGGTTTCGGCAGAAACTGGCCTTGCACTGCCCTAGCGTCCTGCTATATTTGTATCAGAGATAAGCACCAACAATAAATCGCGCTAGTAATGTACCTCCACCACTTTTATTAAGGGGACCAGCTGCTACGAAATCAAAAGGTTACTTTATTTTCATTTTAAAGTGCTCGGCAAATGCTTTCATGTTTTCTTGTTCTAAAATATTAATTAGAGCTCTAGAAAGTCTTCTTAAAGTCATGTTTATGTGATTTACAATTACGTCATTATGTATTAGTCCCACATGGTGTCAACAGTAATAAGCTTGGCTTTTTTATTTATTTTCTCTAAAATGCATTTTTACCCTTGAATAATGGATTTTTCGAAAGAACACCTGTCTCACATTAAAAAAGTTGCTCAGGAACATTATCGCGACTCACGTGAACATGACTACTTTTAAAGCTTGTTAATATTATTATCGAATACCAATTCAGCTGTATACACGCACTTAAATATTTTTTTAAAGGAAAGCTCGCGCGGAGAATTCTAACGAGTAATTTCAAAAAAAGAGATGAACCCATTTCATTTTGAGCATTGACATGATCTGCTTATCTACTGATCTGCTCTATATTGTAGAAATAAATCCATTGTACTTAAATACACGTTAGTATTTAACTGCTTTGACTACAACATGAATTGTAAAGGTGTTTGGAATGTCAATCATGTATTACCGAATGTAACCAATGGATAGATTGTCATCAACACAATTTTGTAGGAATTTTGTAGGATAATTAATTATTTGATTGTGGTGTATTCGTCCAGTTAGCAAGCCAAGTGGAAGTGAATAATACCGTCGTTAACGCTAAAGTCTTCTACATACCGCATCAGTAACCGCAAGAGATCTTCATCTGGAATTTGTAACGAGGGGGGCGGGGCTAGTAATAATAAATAAACAATTATCCCTATATATCAAGTTGATTTTTGTCGATAGAAACGACACACCTCGAGATCGCGACGCGAGCACGACAGTTCGAATTCGGACGGAGAGAAGGTTATAGCGTGCATATTGCTTTATTATCTAGAATCCTCAATGCGCTGCCGGATCAGACCGAGAGATTTTGGCCCGCATGCGCGAGATCACAAGAGAACGAAATCACGCACCGCGGCGCGCATTTAAGTTCGCTTCGCTGAGCGCCCGCGAAACAAACAAGTGACTTATGCCTTCGAAATCTGACGCGTCGCTGCGGCCAGCTACGTCAACGCGAAGTCCGTAACGGACAATTAGTACGTCGCTTTGTGCATGCAGGTTGCTGATGTCCAGTGAAGCTCCGCTACGCTCGAGTGCGAATCTGATTCGCCATGCGACTATCACGCTGCGATTGGCCCTCTGCCCTTCTCTCGCGAGTAGCAAAGCAATTTTGACCCCACTGTTCGCATATTACTTTCGCATCGTATGTCATCCACAAGGGAAACGGCTGGAGTGTAGGATGGCAATTTCCACTTTTAAGGAGGATGTTCAGGCGCTTCGAAAACACCAGGGAGACAAACTCGATTGCTCGAGATTATTTACCGGTCAGTGCCGACTCGCTTCCCTCGCTCGCGCCTTCTTACCGGCAATCCTTCTCGCTTGTTTCCGTGCTTCGTATTTCTTTTTCATTCCGTAACAAATTATCCTCAGGATTCTGCAAATGGTCGAGCTATTCGAACCTACAAAACTATTCGACTTTCCAACCGACGAAAGGTCAAAAACTTATTTCACGTCCTTTTTCGTTGCTAGAACCCACGCCGAGCTGCACGAATACACCTGAAATTTAATGTTTTGATCTTAGATTCAGTCTATTATACCTACGTAAAAATGTAAAAGTCAGTAGAGGAATGGTTATGATCTTATCTGTTTCTAGACTGTTACAGATCAGTATTGGAGTATTGTTCGTTAGAGTAACTTTAGCTCCGGGATTTAAGAACAGCTTCGCCAGTTTCATTATCTGTTCGAAACCTTTCGTATAACGCGCCTACTCTTACAAAATATGCAGTAGCTTAGCATTCGGTCCAAATTGGAAAATCCGCGTGCACTTGTGGACTAACATTGACCTCTGAATCAGACAGCATACTTGGAATATCGTCTACATCGCGACAATGGCATGCTAAGCGTAAGTAAGCGATTCCGGTTTCGTTTTCTACATTTCTCCGACGCGTCACACCACTTATGCGCATCGATGTCAAGTATCTCTGTAGAGAGATTTCAAAGCATCCCACTGCTCACTTCTTATATTATAAAATAGAGACACACCGTTGGATTCCTTACGAAAAATATCCGCATCATCTTGTGAAAGCAACTCAATGATTTTTATACAGTTATGTTTTCCACAATAAAATGCATCCGTCTACATCCCGAAATAAAATTTTCACGAGAATCAAACGATTGGCGAGTTTCTTTACGTAAAAATAGGAATAATTTGGGTCTGCTCCAAGCTGAAGTGAGCGCTCAACAGCGTCTCAATACAAGCAAGTAAGTCGGAATCAATTGCATTTGCATCAGTTTTACGATCTAACGAAATCTTTATAACTCCAATAAACCTGTTTGCAATTACGATGTAAAAAGGCGACGAGTCACAAATATATGTGAAAGTTGATCTGATTTTCAACTATTGACAATCATAGCTTCACTTGAGGATTGTCCACTATCGATTGATCTCTAAGCGATTCGCCACACAGGGGATGTGAAAGTGGCTGACTCCCTTGGCAGATCGTGGACTTGCAGCGTTGCCACTATCGACATGTGTTGTCAACAACGATCTTACGAGCGCATTATCAACAGTACCTGCTGTTTACCCGTTCTGAGCATGCCATAATGTGCCGCAGAAGACTTCATGAAGAGCAGTTCTTCTGTTTTTATTTGTTGCCGTAATGTCTGCAACGCGCTTCAGCAAGATGTCAAAAGATTTTCATGGCGAATGATGTACAAGGGCGTACCGTTTAATTGAATAATAATTGACCGAGTAGTTGCTGTGAAATTTGATGTTAATGTCACCGATTGCATTTCAGATTTCAAGCGTTAGTCCGCCAAGCTGTCTCGTATTTGGACCATGAGAAAGTTGAGCAAGTTTGCGCTAAGTTTGTTGATTTTTAGAGATGGATGATAATTATAATCTTGATCGTGTTGTCTTATCAATTACGAATGAATATTATGTCTACAGCTGCAATAAAGAGACACTAAATCTAGCCTAAAGAATAATAGACCTGTCATAAATAGTAAGCGAATAGAATAGTGAAAAGAACTAGTTCATTTGCTATTTATTGATTACTGAAGAGTCACTTTGAATGTGCATTACACTAATATATAGAAATGTAATATGTCACTACAAAAACTTAGACTATACACTAAATTTTAATTAATTGTATATCTACAGACAAAAAACAGCGGTGTACGAACTCGCGTTGCCGATCGAAAATTCACGGAAAAATGCGTTAACAGTGAGATACACATATCTTTCTACGAATTTCTCGCAGAATATGACTTTTTTTAATTTCGACTGAATTGTAGATAAGTCGTTAAATCGCAAATATATAATACTATTGTATATGTATATTTAATATAGAATTCTGACTTGATTGTTTGTCGTATACCTATCAAACAAAAAAAATTGTATAAATACGATAATTTAATGGAAACTCAATGATATGAAATGAATGACAATAATATGATATAGTATAATTTTTTAAGCCTACAATAGCTAAAAATAAATTTCACTGCGTCTTCGGACGTTTTTTCGATTGTTATTTGAGGTGTATATAGTGGTAGAAAATTATAAACAATATTTGACAAATTAGCATCAATATCTTTTTCAACCCTTTCATTCGACATTATTTTAGATGATAATTTTTACCATTTCAAATAGGCGAAAGTTTTTCGCTCATATAAGCTTTCATATACCTCTTTAC